GGTACGCGGGCCTCTCACTGTTGCGGCTTCTCCCGCTGCGGAGCACAGGCTCCGGACGCGCAGGCTCAGCGGCCATGGCTGACGGGCCCAGTCGCTCCGCGGCATGTGGGATCTTCCCGGACCGGGGCACGAACCCGTGTCCCCTGCATCGGCAGGCGGACTCTCAACCACTGCGCCCCCAGGGGAGCCCTCAACTGCTTTGCTTGAGAAAATGCTCATAAGTAAAATTCTCTGCCTGCTCATACAAAGGAAAGTAATGTTCCTCTGTTTTCCAGCTCTAATAGAAAAGAGGAAGTAGCTGCAGAGTGTGACTTAGAACTCGAGGAAGTCTCCTGGGTTGATGCCTGGGATTCATCTCCTGCATGTTTGATGGTTTGAGTTTAATAATCTTAAAATATGTGCTTTTTATTTTTTTTTCTAGGTGAATGTTGGATGTGTACCCAAAAAGGTAGAACTTTTACTTCTCCTTCCACACTCCTTTGACATATTAGGTAAATCATGATCAGAGTAAGGATGTTTTCAAATGTGCCAGTTAAAATTCTTGCTGCAAAAAATAACTGAGAAAGCTACTAAAAGGGCTTAAATAATAGGATAGTTTTTTTTCTAAATTTAATTAATTAATTTATTTATTTGGCTGCGTTGGGTGTTCGTTTCTGTGCGAGAGCTTTCTCTAGTTGCGGCGAGTGGGGGCCACTCTTCATCGCGGTGTGCGGGCCTCTCACTATCGCGGCCTCTCTTATTGCGGAGCACAGGCTCCAGATGCGAAGACTCAGTAGTTGTGGCTCACGGGCCCAGTTGCTCCGCGGCATGTGGGATCTTCCCAGACCAGGGCTTGAACCCATGTCCCCTGCATTGGCAGGCAGATTCTCAACCACTGCGCCACCAGGGAAGCCCAACAGGATAGTTTTTATTTGTGTTTTTAAATATCATTTATTAAGAAGCCTGGAGGAAGAAATAAAGAGGCCTGGAGATAGGCAGCTTCTGAGATTGGCTTAGCACTTAAGGATATCTGAAAGAACCCTGGCTTCTCTTCATCTTTCCGCTCTGGTATCCTAGGTGTATGGTCAGTGGTAACCCCTGCCCCGTCATGGCCACAGGATGGCTCATGGAGCTCCAGACAGGATGTCCTCACCCAACACTGCCCCTGCAGATTGCTTTAGATTCTCCTGGCCAGGATGAGCTACCCCTGCAGGGGAGAATGGGCAAGTGAGTGGCATTTTCAGCCAGGAAGAAAGGAGGGAGGGGCTGCTGGAGAGATAACCACAGAAATACTAGCTCCTGGATACTAATTGCATCATATATACAAAGGAAATTCATCCTGGCCATGAACCTTGTGGTTAAGTTCCCATAGTGACAAAGTCCCTGTGGGAACACAGAGGGGAGATAACCAGGAATGGAACACAGTGTCTGGTCTCAAGCTTCTGATGGTCTAGAAGGAACAGAGGCCAACAGAATGTTTATAGTCATGGTGTGAAAGAAAAGCACTATCCATCTGCAGGGGATAACTTTTTCTCAATAGAAGATCCAGCCAGGAAATAAAAAAGTTTATACCCCACTGTAAGCCCAAATGCTGATATGACCAAGACCAAGTAGATGATGGTGGCAGATGGATGGATGTCCCTCCTACATGTGGCTCTGGTTAACTACGTGGAACCTGGGTGACTTTGCACGGAGTGAGGTGTTTGCCTCAAGCCATCTGGTCTTTCACGTGCTCCAGGGCATCTCTGAATCAATTTTTCCCAGGGAGACAAGAATAGTTTTTCTCCTGGAAAGACATGTCAAGATTGTCATGGGTTTTTTGTTTTATTTTGGTGTTAGTAGTTTTTATTTTTAAACAGAAACATATTTCCCTATAAATTATCCAAGTTAAAATCATATAGCATGTGACGTTGGGTATCTCCTGGCCACTCTAAAATTGAATTTCTCAAGTTGCTTGAATGATGTTTCTGAGGACGGTATTTGGATACCATTGTGGTAAGCAGTTGATAGAATTGCACCTCAGTTAAAAGAATCCAGCACAGTCATCAATTTATTCTTCTTTAGGCATAAAGGGAGGAAGGTATAAAGAAGGAATCAAAGGCTTGTCAAAAGTTGTGGGACTTCCCTGGTGGCGCAGTGGTTAAGAATCCGCCTGCCAATGCAGGGGACACGGATTCGAGCCCTGGTCCGGGAAGATCCCACATGCCACAGAGCAGCTAAGCCCGTGTGCTACAACTACTGAGCCTGCGCTCTAGAGCCCCTGAGCCACAGCTACTGAGCCCGTGTGCCACAAATACTGAAGCCCACACACCTAGAGCCCGTGCTCCGCAACAAGAGAAGCCACCGCAATGAGAAGCCTGCGCACAGCAACGAAGACCCAAGACAGCCAAAAATCAATCAATAAATAAAAGTAATGTCTCTGGCATGTCTGACAAAGAAGATGGTAGTTTGTCATCTAGAGTTCTAGATGCCAATTTTAATTCAGTTCTCATGATGATCAGTTGGTTTACAGATTATAGGCTACATCCCACAGCAGACGCAGCTAACCTTTGAGTTCCAGATGCCTGATTACATATACCCTTACAGGGACACGTTTGTAGTTAATAGGAATCCATTTTCTTAAAGTTTCCAGTGCTCAATTTTATCTAATAGTTTCCTTCTAAGTCTTAAAGTTACAAATGCAATTCCATTTCTTAAATTGAGCACAGAAGGCAAGGCTTAAAGAAATTTGGAACTTAGAATGAATGTAAGCAGTAGTAAATTTGAATGGAAGAACTATGAGACATATAATATTCTACTTTTACAGAGTATATAAACTGTGGAATTCAACAGTAGAAGTAATTTCCCCCAACATTTCAGAAGTCTCACTATGAAATCTATCTGGTCATATTTCTGAAGTTTCTCTTTTAAAATGTTTAGTTTTGTTTGTAAGTTAAAGGTCAGTATCTTTATCTACTATTATATAGTTACCTTTCTGTAGAAAAAAATTTCTCTTTTTTCTCTGGACTCATGCACTACTGTCTTGGGTACTCTTTTTTAATAGGTAATGTGGAACACAGCTTTCCACTCTGAATTCATGCATGACCGCGTTGATTATGGCTTTCAAAGCTGTGAGGGTAAATTCAGCTGGCGGTAAGTGTAAACGCTGAGAGGGCTCTGTTTACAAACGTACATTTTTTCTTTCATAGTGAAGTAAGCCATAAATTTTTTGAGGGTGTATTATTATGGCAGAATGTATATAACATAAACTTTTGGAGGTGATGGATATGTTTTTGGCATTGATTTGCAGTGATGACATACTTGTGCATATACTTATCTCTAAACTCATCAAGTTGATACATTAAATATGTACAGCTTTTTGTATGTCAGTCATACATCAATAAAGTGGTTTTAAAATACACAATACAACATGAAAGGTTCATTTTAGCCCTTTTAAAGTCGTCGATTCAGTGGCATTAGGTATATTCATAGTGTTGTGCAACCATCACCAACATCCATTTCCAGATTTCCACCATCCCAAACAGAAACAGTGCACCTGTTAAACAGTCTTTCCTTGCTCCAAACCCCTGGTATCTCTATTCTGTTTTCTGTCTCTATGAATGTGACTATTCTAGGTACCTTATACAACATCTGTCCTTTTATGCCTGGCATATTTCACTTAGCGTAGCACTTGTAGAATTTGTCCATGCTGTGGTATGTGTCAGAATTTCATTCCTTTTTAAGGCTGAATGCTGTTCCCTAATATTTATAAACCACACTTTGTTTCTTTATTCATCCTTCAATGGACTCCTGGGTTTTTTCCATCTCTTGTCTATTGTGAATAATGGTGCTATGAATATTGGTCTACAAGTCCCTGTTTTCAGTTGTTCTGGGACTGTACCTAGAAGTGGAATTGCTGGGTCATATGGCAATTTATATTTAACTTTTTTTTGAAGTTTTATACCTTTTATTTTTTTTTATTGAGGTATAGTTGATATACAATATTATGTAAGTTTCAGATTTACAACATAGTGATTCACACCTTTTAAAGGTTTTACTCCATTTAGAGTTATTGTAAAACATTGGCTATATTTCCTGTGCTGTCCAATATATTTTTGTAGCTTATTTATTTTATACGTAATAGTTTGTACCTCTTAATCCCCTGTGTTTAACTTTTAAAGGAACTGCCATAAACTTTTTTTTCTTTTTGGCCACGCCTTGTGGCATGCAGGATCTTAGTTCCCAACCAGGGATCGAACCTGAGCCCCCTGCAGTGGAAGCATGGAGTCCTAACCACTGGACCACCAGGGGATCCCCTGCCATAAACTTTTCTAGCCATAAATTTTTTTTTAAATTTTAGCATATTCATTCATTTATTGAGCAAATAATGAGTGGCCACCATATACTAGGCACTGTGCCAAAGCAGCTGTCCTTACCTTCTTTGCAGCAAGAAATTTACGAACCTTGCGTGCCAAGTGAACATTCTCCATAGAGTAGAATAAGGGTTCTGCACATATGGAATGCAGACATACACAGGGGAAGGTGTGCCTGTCTTTAGAGACACTCACTCTCAGGGCTCTTGTGGGCAGTCTGATTCTCTGCTCCGAGGTGTTAAGGGTCAGAGGCCCCAGTTACGACTGAAAGAGGAGAGTCCAGATCCTCAGTACTGACTCCGGTTTCATTGCAGGGTTATAAAGGAAAAGCGGGATGCCTACGTGAGCCGCCTAAACACCATCTATCAGAATAATCTAATCAAGGTGAGCATGCCAGGTTTTGAACTTTGAGAAGAAGCTGTTCTCTGCCGGAGAACCACATCTGGCCAGATATAGCCTTTACATTTATCTCTTGTTTCTTTTCTTTCTTTTGTGATTACTGGTTTTGATATTGACCTGTAAGAATGTAAGTCGGACTCGGTAGGCCAGTCTCATTTCTATTTCTACAGAAAGTGGGATGTATGTGCCTAAGTCGGCGAATCAGGTCTCACCTGATGCCTGCCTGCACCTGTCTGACCCTCCACTTAGTTCCAGAAACCAAGCACATAAGAGCCTGATTATGTAACAATGTGCCAGTTTATGGATTAAAATCAGGACAGTTATCTGGCTGGAAACCTGCCATAGTTCGTCTGCTGAGAACACCCTCATCTTTGGTGGCTAAATCTACTCAGGACACCATGTTATGGTTAAGAAGGACGTTTTTGTGAATGAAGTCCAATCAGGACAATTGGGCAAATGTATGTTGTCCTTTGCTCTGCTGAGGCTTTTCCCACCCCCATGCTTTGATGTCATTCCTCTTCCACGGGACTGTACTGAAGCACCATCCAACTCTCCTTTTTCTTTTTTATTTATTTATTTTTAATTAATTTATTTATTTTTGGCTTCGCCGTGCGGCTTGTGGGATCTTAGTTCCCCAACCAGGGATTGAACCCACACCCTTGGCAGTGAAAGTGTGGAGTCCTAACCACTGGACCACCAGGGAAGTCCCAACTCTCCCTTTTCTTGACAGTGTGACTCCCAGCACCCTTAATTGGTCTTTGCGGTCTCACTCTGCAATTTCTAAGACATCAACATAGCTTAGATTATACTAGATCAGTATATTTGGGATGGTATTTGGGCCACTGTAATCTCATTAGCACGTGTTTATAAACCACTTTTTAGGGTGAGTTATTTGTACAGATGGCTAACCTCATAATTTTTATATTCTTATCATTCATTGGGTTTATTTTTTTGGAGGGTGATATTTTCTGACCTTAATCCCCAGATTCAAGGGGAAAGTGTTTGGTCTTCAGACCCCTGTGCACTGAGTTCAAGAGATTTTAAGGTGGCTAGACATGAATATGAGATGCCATTTGCTATACTACAACACCCAAGTAAAAAAAAATTTTTTTTAATGGAGCTAGCTTAAAGTACTTTTGCAAAAGAGATAGGAAAATTACTCAGGAAATAGCATTTTTTAATACTCAAAAATCTTGGTGTGTAGCAGAATTTACCATGACCTTATGGGAAAGGAATCACAGGCGATCCAGAAATTCGGAATAGGAAACTTTCTGTGAAATATCCTAGGAAATGAAAATAAAAATTTCATCAGTTTCTTCCCCAAGCGATTACTCATATTATTGCCACTTGACTCAGTCTCCTTTTTGTCTCGCACCCGGTAGGAAATCATTACCTCCTGAAGGAAAGTTTTTCAGGAGCCTCTTGGCTTTTGGCATCAATCTTGATTCACCTTGATTAAGCAGGGCACCTGCAGAACAGGCCTGGAGGGCTGATTAGAAAGGAGGAAATAGCTCAGTTCAGAACCAGGTGTGTTCCAAAATGTTGCAACGCTCCATTCTGTGATCGTGCTTACGTGATCCCAGTATCCTTGTGAGTTGCCCACATTTCTTGCCAGTTTGTGTATCCTGGCAGGCAGAAGCTTGCTGGCAGTCCAAACTCAGGCCCAGGCACAGAGGCTGCCAGGAAGGGCAAATCAAGTCTGAGTTCTCAACGCCCCTAGTGTAGAGCTTCACGGTCATGGAATTTTGTGGTATTCTTCCCCCCTTCGTTTGAGAAAACAGAAACATTGCTTTTCCCTCCCTTGGCCAGAGTATTTCCCTTTGGCCTCAGCTCCCTGCACCTTTATCCTTTTGTTTTCTCAGCCTTCTTTCTTTCCTCCAGACACATCATTCTTCAGTGTGTTTTCATTCTAAGTGAGGAAGGCTTTCTCCTTCAACTCTTGGGGACAAAGATGTAATCTTCCTTGTGGGAATGACTTGCATATATTTTTTTTAGTCTCTGGGTTTTGGCCCAAGATAGTCCCTTTGTTTTTTCTTACTGCATACTTCTAGCGTCAAATGGCAACCCCCAACCTAAGTATCAATTATTTAACAGTCAGAAGTTCTGCAGAAACTCGAATGTTGGAGAGTTGTCTTAGCATCAGCAAACCGTAAATCACAATCCTCAGTAGAGAATGGAAAGATGTAAGAAGTTGCAGCAAGTTTTGTTTTGGTTTTTGGTTTTTTTGGTTGTTTTTTGTTTTTTGGGTATTTTTTGACCGTACCACACGGTTTGCAGGATCTTAGTTCCCCGACCAGTCCTAACCACTGGACGGGGAATTCCCTTGTTTTATTTTTTAATCTTTTTCTTCTTTTTTTTTTTTTTATTTTATCAAAGTATAATTGAATTACAATGTTGTGTTAGTTTCTGCTGTTCAGCAAAGTGACTCAGTTATACATAGATATTTTTTTCATGTCCTTTTCCATTGTGTTTTATCATAGGATATTGAATATAGTTCCCTGTGCTATACAGTAGGACCTTGTTGTTTATCCATTCTATACATAATAGTTTGTATCTGCTAATCCCAAACTCCCAGTACTTCCCTTCCCCAGCCCTTTGTTTTTTAATCTTAAGAACAGGCTAATGTGACCATGCTTCCTTCTCCAGTCGCACATAGAAATCATCCGCGGCCATGCAGTGTTCACGTGTGATGCCCAGCCCACAGTGGAGGTCAACGGGGAAAAGTACACTGCCCCTCACATCCTGATTGCCACAGGTGGCGTGCCCTCACTTCCTCAGGAGAGCCAGATCCCTGGTGAGTCTTCCAAAGGCGTATGCTTGTTAACAATAGTCAGAAAGAATTTACCGTTGTTTTCCACCTTACAGGCCATGCCAGGGGATCTGTCCTGTACCAGTTCTTTGCCTTGGACACATGAGAGAAGGTGTCTGCAGAACCTAAATGTAATTGGCCTAAGTGGTACCTAGTGACGGGGCAAAGGAAGATATTTCATCCAGCTCCAGGCTCAGACATACTACAGTAACACGGGGGAAGAATCAGCAAAAGCCCCATCCTTCCCTTCTCGGCACAGTAGAGATTGTTTCCAGCCTCAGTTTGTCATGAGATATTTACTGTTTTGTTTAAGAGAGTGAAATCTTGTAGAGATGTAACTTCATCAGCTAATTAAGCCTTCTTATATGCATATTTTTCTCTCATATAAAGAATTAGAAAATTAAAGCAGTAAGGACTCTCCGAGACAGTCTTGTCTACCTTTGTATACACAGGGATGAGTCATAACATACTGCCTTGTTCTCTCATAGGAAACATTGTCCGTATCTTTTTCCCCCACTAGATTATAAGGTCTTTGTGGATGGTGATCATAGTTTATACAACTTCTTAAGACCCATGACCATGGATTGGCTTCTTACGACCCATGACCAACCTGAATTTATATGGAAAATTTTGAGTGTGTATGTATTTATGTATTTTTTTCTCTCTGGAGAGAGGATCGATAAAATTTCACCAGCTTTTAAAAGGGGTCATGACTCCCCAAAAGCTAAAGAACAACTACTGTAAAAAATATGAAGATGCTGTTGTCAAGTAACTTAAAATTTAGTTGGTAAGATTGGATATACACATCATTTTTTTGTGTGTGTGGTACGCAGGCCTCTCACTGTTGTGGCCTCTCCCGTTGCGGAGCACAGGCTCCGGACGCGCAGGCTCAGCGGTCATGGCTCACAGGTCCAGCTGCACCACGGCATGTGGGATCTTCCCGGACCGGGGCACGAACCCGTGTCCCCTGCATCGGCAGGTGGACTCTCAACCACTGCGCCACCAGGGAAGCCCTGGATATACACATCTTGATAGGGAACAACCTCCAAGATTGATTGTTTAGTGAAAGAAAGCAAGGTGTGGGACAATGTGTATAATATGCTACAGTTTATATCTTTTTAAAAAGACAGGGAGACTGTACAGATGCACTAGGATCTCTGGAAGGACACTCAAAACCCTGCAGTGCCAACTCCCTCCAAGGAGAGGACCAGAACTCTGGGATGGGAAAGAGACCTGCTTTTCACTAGATGCTCTGTGGTGCTTTTTAAATTTTTTAAGATATACATTTATTAATTTAAAACATGTAATAAAAAACAAATGCAAAGAAATAAAATAAAAGATAAGTGTTCCAAGGTGATTGCCAGACAGTGAGGGTCAGGGTCCTCAGAGGTGGGACGGATTACTATGAGCTGTCATGGACCAAAAAGACTTCCTGGGGAAAGGGCTTACAAATTGAGCACCGTGTGCCGAAGAAGAGAAAGACCAGAAGAACCAGTGGGTAATAAATAGGTCTTTTAAGGACATTCAGTCAATTAAACCAGTTTTTCTAGCAGTGAAATCTGCAAGCAAGTACATTGAACTGAAACTGGAAGAAGGTTAGGGCCAAATTGTGGACATTTATGAAGTCAAATTAAGGAATCTCTGTCATTCACGAAAACCAGTTATTAATAGCTTATAAATGGGGTAGTGACAAGACCTAAGTGATAATTTTAGAAAACTAATCTGATAGTGATTTACAGAGGCGGAAGGCCAGTTAGCAAGTTGTTGCAATAGAATGTACAGGAGGTGGTAATAGGTTCTGAACTGCAGGGTTAGCGTCTGAAATATGGTGCAAATGCTCAGTTCAGCTCTGCAGACAGTTACTAAGCCACTGCTATGTACCAGGCGCTAGGAAGAGAGGACAGACGTAAGAGACACAGAAGGATGACTCGGCTGGTATATTTCATTGACTCCGAGACACATTAAAAAAAAAAAAATACTTAACACCTCTGAAATCAGGATGGGTCCTTAATCATTGTGCACTGAATTTGGCGAAATGCAGTATTTTAAATAACTGATGAGGTGGCCGTTGTTGAGAGAAGGAATTACAGATGGATAACTCAAGACTTTGGATTATTGATGGAAGGTAGTCTTTTCAGCTGAAGTGGTAAACAAGAGAGGGATATGGCTTGGGAAATAAAGTTAAGATTCTATTTTGAAAGTACTGAGTTTGAAACACAGTTAAATGGTAAAGAAAGACAGTTAGAAATATGGAACTAGAACCTGGGAAGAAGGTCAAAAGTGGAACTACACATTTGGAAGAGTCTCCCACAGTGAAGGGCGAGTTGGTTAAAACCTTTGAAGGAAAAAAAGCACAGAGAAGAGAACCAAGGCTGAGCCCATTTGGGGCCGGGAGAATGAAGCAGAGCCAGCAAGGAGTCTATTCATGAGAGCTGAGGAGATCGGTTTTTTTTTTTAATTAATTATTTATTTGGCTGCCGTCGGGTCTTAGTTGAGGCACGTGGGATCTTAGTTTCCCGACCAGGGATCAAACCCGAGTCCCCTGCATTGGAAGGCGGATTACTAACCACTGGACCACCAGGGAGGTCCCAAGCTGAGGAGATCTTAATTCCTCAAAGAAATTTAATAGTTACTTAGCCATCAGTACTCTTATTTCTAAAGAGGAAATAAAAAATGTTGACTCAGGGAAGATTTGATTGGCAGCTCCCTAAGTGGAGACTTTAACAGAACTTGTCAAAACAGAGAGTGTGATGGCTGAGAAAGTGTTTGGTTCGTACATAAAATGTTGTGATTATTTTACAAGAGAAAACTCCATCTGTGTGACCTATATTGCATTTTCCTACATAGGTGCCAGCCTAGGAATAACCAGTGATGGGTTTTTTCAGCTGGAAGAGTTGCCTAGGTAAGCTGCTTTTCTTCCTGACCTCCGTGTTCATTCTCCCTCAGTTTCTCCCAACACTTCTACCTCCTCTTCCCAACTATTAAATGTAGGAATTTCCAGAATTCTGTTCTACCTCTTCTCTTTTTATGACCTTGGGTATCTCATCCATGAGTAGCCCGCAATAAATGACTCAAATCTTTCATGCTTTTGGTCAGAGGCCATTGTAAAATTTTTAGGACCAGAATCAAATGCAGGGTGGTTTTGAGAATAAACACTGAAGTCCTAAAACTGTTTTCTTTCTTCAGCTTGATAGAGCATCAGTTGATAATGTGTCTAAAGTGATTCTGGTCTTCAAAGCAGCTAGTACAGAGGCATCTGGATAAATGAAGGCTCTGTCAGTCTCACAAAAATAGGTTTTCTGAAATTGGCCTTTATACATGTTTGTCCTAATAACCTTAGTAGACTTCTGTCATGGATTTAGATAACACAGAGAGAAAAAACATAATGAGGAGGTTTGTTTCTCTAATTTGCAGAAGCTGCCAATTGCAGGCTTCCTTGATTAGAGGGGTCCTCCCTTCACTCATGATAAGTGATAGGGCACCTGGGAACTGGAGGAGGGACCCTGTTAGCCCAGAGTTTGGCCTTTATTTCCTTCTGAGTAGCACTCACCCTGGAGTCATTATTGCTCAACTCTGCTACTCTCTCGGCGGGCGCTGCCAGTGCAGTGGGAAGTCTTAATCCCGCGCTTTTCCATCAAGGCCTTTCTGGAGGGTGACTAATAATCCCTGCTTGTTCCTTTACCTTAATTCACCTGGAACCGCAGGTGGTTCATCAGGGACAGGAGGGCGTCTTGGCAGTTCCATAGCTGCTGTGAAAATGTCCTGTTACGACATTCAGACCAGGTCATCTTCTGACTTTGAGAAAAGCAAACAGGCATTTTAGATTTGCTGTCTGTGGGGCAGGGCAGCGTGTTAGAGAGCAGCCTTTCTTTCCTCGTGATCTGTTTGGTTTTAGGTGTGAAGGATATGAGACATGTGAGAATATATGCAGAAATGTGGTCGTGACTCATCGTGTTTAAATGGTACAATTCAATCTGGACTCAGAGAAGCTTCATTCTAGATATCTGTCCATTACCTATTTTTAAACCATTTATTAAACTTGTGCTGGTAGCACTACAAGTTGAAGAAAGGAATGTATGCATGTTATAAACAAGACTCTGGGAACATAGGAAAGTGAATTAACAATTGGTATATGATTTTTGTCTTCTTAAGACTCCTTTATCATTGTTATATTGGTAAGTAAGTAAATAATCAAAGAAGGAACAAATTTATAGGTGAGGTAACATGGGCTCTGGGCTGTATGATCCAGCTTTTACCCTCATTGGACTTATGGTTGAGGGGAGGCTGGAGCATGGAGTCTGTGGAACATTGTGGGACAAGAGGTTCTGACGGCCATAACGAGGGAAAG